TTTTTAGTACGGTGAGACTGAAGTATCTGCTACCACCTTCGTGGCCTCCGAGTATGTGTGAAAGGAACCTTCGGGACTTGGACAACTGACGAACCCTTCTTCGGCCTTCCAGCTTCGGCCTTCAACGCCAACAGGTAGATTGTATATGAGGTTCATGGTTCAAGACCATGATTCTATAGTACTTCCCGGGCCCTCCAGCTCTGTGTTGCCAGCCGGGGCTCCCTCATCGTCATCATCAAATGCAGTTGGGGGAGGCAGTTCTGAGCATCTGGTTCGACGGACCATCGATTGGAAATCCTTCGGGTTCCTGCATCGACTCATCAAACTTGGGATGGATGCTAACGATCCACAGTGGCAAGCTCTGTGGGATCGGTTTTCAACCAACGAGGGGTTAGGATCTGCTGCGAATCCCCGGAAGCAAAAGCTTGAAACACTCCAGAAGTTCGTGGAGCAGAGCCTGGTGTATGCCGTGCGCAAGGACTGGGCGAAGGAGCTGTTGTATAAGAAGCCTGGTGATCCAGATCCCGTGATCGATTCTATGAACGATGAGAGCGAGATTGAGCTCACACCTTCACAGGGACCCGCTGTTGCTCTAAGAAGGAAGGATCGACACAAGAAGCACCGACGTCACCACCACCACCACCGCTCACGCTCTCCATCTCATTCTCGGCGTAGGAGTAAATCGTTGAGTCTTGCTAGTATTTCCCGCTCGGAGGGTCGTCTATCCATGAGCGGCGGGTCGTCGCCCCGGCCCTTCCCTGGTTTCATACCTCCGACTGCTCCAGTTCCTCCCGGACATGGTGCCTTCTACAAGACTCGATTGTGTCCGCTCTTTCAATCTGGGTCTTGTCCTCGTGGGCAGGCTTGTAGCTACGCCCATGGTCCCCAGGAACTCCGCCCCGATGTAGCGGCCGGAGGTAGGCTTAGTGGAGGCTTGATGGGTGGTCTTCACACAGGCACTGTTATGCCAACTGCACGGGTGGGTGATAGTGTCACACTTAGCGCTACAGGAGGTAGTGGGAGTATAATGGATGGAGGTGCCTCATCCATGCCCATGGGAAGTGCTCCGCCCAATAATCCCTACTATAAGACGCGGATGTGTCAGGCGTTTCAGCAAGGGCTATGTCAGAAGGGTGCCTACTGCAACTATGCCCATGGTGCTGATGAGATGGCATATTATGGAGGCGGTGTATCTGGGGTGCTTGCTGGTGCGGGCGGAGATCTGCCTAAAGGTGCTGTCAGTGCAAATGATATAAGACTGGCCGAGAAGCGGCGGTTTGAAAAGAAACGTCACCATCATAGTAGGTCTCGGTCCTCTTCATCAGACGCTTCATCACGGAGCGATTACAGTAGCGACAGTAATAGCAGTAGTTCAGAGGACGAAACTGATCGTCGTATCCGAGAACTGCAACAGCGGCTTGGACTTGGCCATAATGGAGTTAATACGCTACCAGGCAGCAATGGTCCAATGGGACCACCGGTTGCAGCGGGGATGGGCATGATGGGCCAGCAAGTTTCTATTCAAGCTCCCGCTCCAAGGAGGTATAGAACTGAATTATGCAAGCACTTTATGGAGGGTAAATGTGGCTATGGGGAGCATTGCTCTTACGCTCATTCCATGGAAGAAATACGTCAACACGTAGCTGGTAACCTCCCTGCTTCTAGCCCAATCCAGACCTCGATTCAACAGTCAAACTCCATGACGGGGCAACCGCTCGCTCAGCCTCAGTTCAATATAGCATCGTCAGTGTCTCTCCTGGAGAGTGCACGAAGTGATCAATCAACTAAACGGAGCCAGTTGGGACACGGTCACCACCACCAGAAGGATAAGAAGCTTCGTACAAGTTCTGGTGCACCTGCTGCGGTGAAGATCTGTCTCGACGATCTCTAAGGTCCTTACGAGTCGACTCTAATGTAGCAGCCTGGCAACGGTATTCAGTTCCTAAATATCATTATCGTGGCATCTTAGGTGATATGCTATCGAAAAGTATTTCTCGTGTCTTCCGAGATCCCATCAGTCGTTAAGGTTATATCATTGATCCACGTCTTTTGGTGACAGTTACGTTCTGATGGATAGAGCTGATTGTACAATGTCTTTTCTCTGATTGTCCCTGTCTCTGTGTTCCCAGTTGATGATTAAAAGTATGGGGCAGCGCTTCTAGAGAAACTAGTTACACTTTTAGTTGTTGACAATACGGAACGACCAGTCGGTAATAAGCAGTTGCTGGCCGAAACTGAGTCACTTTCGATTATCGCCCATTTCCCTTCCAATCCGAAACCTGATTCGTAAGGTCTCGATGCCAATCTTCGTCCTGTCGATAGGCTTGGATTTTCAACAAAATTCTAAGACTCCAATTCGAATTCTAATCGGACTCCTAATTGGACAGATGTTACTTGTTCGGTCCTTCGGTCGCAATACAAACTTCCCATGCGCTTCGCGCTCGACTGCCGATTAAAAGGACGGTAAAACTCGATATTCGTCACAACATTAACCTCCAATTCCACATTCATGGTAGGTGTTCACGTATGGACGGTGAGCAAGGAGTCGAGGCGGTGCTGAATGTCAGTGAGCTGAGAGGTCGTATCCTGGAGCAACTGCAGCGGGACCGACAATATATCACTCAGTCAGATACTTTGCATACCTTCTGCTGGTTGTTTGCAACCGTATCGAGTCCTTGAAGAGTTTGTTCCAGGCCGACGCCTAAATACAAGTGGATATTTAGCGGAAGGATTAAATGCAGAAGAATTTCCACAAGATGCATTTGTCAACAACTCACCATTGCCATCCTTCTCCTCTAATAGGGAAGCTGGAATATCGAGGGATTCCTGTGAAATCGCCGGGACACTTTCAGTATTGGAAAGATCGCGTATTCCATGTTCAATCTTGGCCAGAATGGCGTTCATTTCAGGATCAGCAACCGGATCGAAGGAAGCCTAACTTTTGTTTGTCAAGTGTACCCTGAACATGGTCTAGCGACACCATCTTACCCTTTTTGCAGTCTCCGTAGCATGAGACAATATTAGAAGCAATGCAGTCAGTGTGAATTTGGCAAACATTGTAGGGAAAGTTGTAAGTAATAGCTGGACGACGCATATTCTCATTTCGACCACGCGTGGAAGCCAAAGAATGCGCAGCGGCGAGCGATATCTGAATGGAAATAACCGGGCGAGCGCTGAAATCTGGCGCTCTGCTATCTGGTCCAGATGAGCGGAACTCGGGGTCATGGTACGGGCCGCTGTCCCCGTACAGATTACGGTACGGTTGTGCGGTTGTAACTGCTACCATGGAACTAGAAACTGGCTGTAGCCTCAACTCAATGTCACTTCATCATTGAGACACTCGGTATTCACCCAATGTGCCAATCGTAGTTCAATTCCTCCCGATGTCCAGTAACCATGTCCAGTTGTGTAGTGCTTTGAGTGCTTTCCATAGGAAGACCCATGACTCACACTACATGCGGCGACGATTCACACCTGGGTCTGGTAGTTCAGTGCTGGTAGATTTTCGAGGATGGCGTCTTTTATATCACCGTTGCAGGTGTGAGTCATAGCTGTAACCTCTCTAGACCATATCTCTTCCCGTGCAAGTTTGACAAGACTTGATCTGGCAAGAATAACAGTGTTACAAGCAAGTTCCAGTGTGAGAACTCAAGTATGTCACAGTTCCATTATATGACACAGACCAATTTCGCTGTAGCTTTTCCTTAGCATCGTGCATAATACGACCGCCATACTAGTGAAAAATTCCAACTAGGAATAATCGATGCTAATAATCTTTCCGCTACCTTGCCTCCAGGCCATTGAAATGCATGTTGCTTCAATGATTTTTTGTACTTTTCTACCAATTAATATCCTGTTGTGTGTTAGTATCGCTGGAGTGAGTGATGAGAGACAGACAATCAGCTTTTGGTGTCGGAACATTTAGCTATGTGGCGTCAAGCTGCTAAGGTGTCTTATAACCAGTAAGCAACGATGATGGTGTAATCTCGGCTTCACTATCTCACTTGCGAGATATACGAATGAGATGGCAGTACTGCTACGTAAATGCCTCAAAGAACCATTCAGAAGTCAGGCTATGAAGAGCACCGGAGTAATCCTATGGTGTCATCTTGGCCTCCATTACATCGTTCCCTGCTCGGTCGTTCACTGAATTTCATTCTTGCTAGGTTCAATTCCGAGAGAAATGGTTTGCGAATGGAACTGAGGTGTCGCGGAATGAAATCAAAGACTTCGACGGAGCTTTCAAGTAGTATCTGTTATCAAGAGCGTCTTGAAGATCTCTCCCAGGTTTGCGAATCCTAGTTCACTCGCCAAGTGAGGCCAGACTCGTGGTAGTATTATCGACTAGAGAACAAGGATTACGAGATTCTTGGAACACCACGCTCTCTCCAGTTGGTTTCTACAGTTCGGTGTCTTGTTGTGTTGTACATTATTTAGCCGATCACTTGACCTGATTCAGGCTGCTGATATGAGGTTATCATATTGCTAGCCTCTGCCAGCTTTGCCAAACCTCTGATAGTTTCTAAATTGTGATGCAATGGCTTCTCCGGAAGCTAAAGGTCAACAGCAACCGTGGTAGGACTGCTATCCTCGGAGTCTTTTGGAGTGCTGGTGCGTGGGGAGGCATATATTATGCTTATCATAAGTACCAAGGTAGTACACAACCGTTGAAGTGCCCAAGCGGCGATCGATATTGCTACTCCGCTGCAGTGCTTGTCTTGCACAGATAGCAAAACAAAAGTTGCTTTCCTTGCTCCCAAGTTCGGCGTCCCACCTGAGGAGCATCGCCTGGCTGCGTTTCGGTAGTGCAGCTGTGTAGCTTCAGCCTCCCGAGTTTGTTGACTCAGATGGGTTCAGCATCAAGGTATCGATCGTGGTGAAATGGGCACCACTGAGACCAGAGCCGACATCGAAGATGTGCGGAGTAGGTCGTTCAACCAGCTGTCGAGAACTCCAATCTTCGATTCATCATTAGGGAAAATATTGCGCTTCGCTAGAGGTCATGTTCTAGAGTGTGGGATAGGGACTGGTCGGCACAACTTGAGGCAGTACATTATTAACCCTCGACTGAAGAGCCTCACGGGTATCGATCTGGTGAGAATGTATGGGTTTGGTGAGTATGAAACTACATCGTACCTGTAGGTCGACGAGGCTCTCGAGAAAGCTGTGGAGCATCTTGATGCAGCGACCTCTGGTGTAGTAGATATGGAGAACAATGTCCTCGATGTTAAACCGAAGCATGTATCACTGGTAGTTCGTGGTGGAGTATCCCGTCAAGATTATTCGGGACATGATCAAGGGCCACCGAGTACTCTGGTTGATAGATACATGGTGACTTCCACAAGCTCCCGTTCCCTGATAACACTTTTGATACAGTCGTGAGCAGCTTCGCACTATGTTCGGCGGAAGACCCCAAGCGTGCATTACTAGAAATGGCGCGAGTATTAACGATATCCTTCAATATCAGTTAGATGGTTCGCGAGTTAGGTTTCCCGGAATCGAGTGCTCTTACTGGAGCATGGTCTTTCTTGCTGGCGGATTATGCGTTGGCTGGGTTACCTTACAGGAGCGTATCCTGACCCGGAACATCCTTGGACTCACGGTACTAATGCCGAATACACTCATCGCAATGTTATATCATCCCTCTTGGGCTCTCAGGGTGTTATCAAGATAGAGATATACTCAAGCTGTGCCGTGACTGTGATCTTACGATTATTCGAAGGACAAGCTATCAGTACGGTCATGTTTATGAGATTCTTGCTAAGCATAGCAAGAAGGTGATATTCTATTCATCCTCATTTGTATCTAGTTCTCTGCAGCATGATGGTCTGTGATGAGGGGCTGTGATTCTGAACAGCTTGTGAATGCGGTCGATCTCTCTATTAACTTCTCCGGTTGTGATCCGTCCAGTTGATGGCGCGCACTAACGCCAGCATGCCGCGGAACGCTTCGATAAGCAATGAAGTGTCTGTTGTTAGGCACGCGAACGGGCAATTAGTGAGCATTCAGAAACTGTTGCGGGTCGACGCTTTGATGAGCGAGGATTGGCGGAAGCCACTCTGTTTTACTCCAACTCGGCGCATGGGGGCTCGTTGCAGGAGTGGACGGATTGGATTCGGAGGAATAGATGGAAGGAAGAATGATTGCATGCTACCAGCGTATCTTCAACTGTTTCCAAGTGTGTAATGTTTCCTCTGATGTATCCACTTGAGTTGCAAAGTCCTTCCAACTTGGATTGGAAGTTCCGAGCTGCGCACGATGATTCAGAGCACGAAGAACGGTTCAGTCTGATGGTTATCTCGTTCGCGTTGTCGGTAAGACGCTCGCCCATAAGAGGTATTGTTGGCTGAAACTATGTCGCCTTCTCCTTCGAGTGGATCAGCCTTGTTTTAAATAATCTCGAATGACTGACAAGGTGCGTGTCTCTCATATTTTATGTAAGCATACCGGTTCGAGGAATCCTGTTTCGAGGCGTACATGTCATGAGATTAGTATTTCCCACGACGAAGCATTGAAGGAAATTAAAGGTCGGTCTGGATACATGACGGTGTAGTTTCTTGACTGAATTGTTCCATCGGTATTCAGATATGATTGAGAAGCTCAAGGCAGATAGAAGTATTTTCTCTGAGATGGCTAAGGCAAGGAGCGACTGCGGTTCGTACAAGAACGGTGGGGATCTCGGATTTTTCGATAGGTAGTCCACGCCGACAACTCCGAATTGCTGCCAATTATGACTTGCTTACTTCAGGGGTGAAATGCAGCGGCCCTTCGAGGATGTCGCGTTCAGTCTGAAGATTGGCGAGCTGAGTGGGCCTGTAGAAACAGATTCTGGGGTGAGTTTTATATAAGTTGCGCTGGCAACCGAGGGAGGGACTGGGTTTTCACAAAATGTTAATGTGGCGCTCTCAAAATGGGAAAATTGTTTTTTCTACGTAGGTTCACGTGCTCCTCCGCACCGGTTAGTGGTTCCAGTGTCCGTGGATTTCGTGTGAGTTTTTTGCTGTAGTTTGTGGTAGCTAACTTTTTCATCATGGAAGCGCGCGTAGTGTTTTGAACGTAGTGTTATCGAGATACACAACGAACTGATAACATAAAGTGGAGTGATACGAGTGACGTGCTGAACATCATGAGCAGAAAAAGTCCACTTTCACTCATACATACTAATGAAAATCCAGTCAAGATGGTATAATACCATTGGTATTCACCTTGTCTCTTAGCTGCTGTGCATCACCTCACCTCGAGGGACCCATTCAACATCAAAAATATCACTTCATCAAGCAATGCCACCAATGAAAATCCTTCACCGTGTATCATTAGCCAGTTGCGCCGACCATTGAGTCGAATGAAAGTAAAGAAAGTGTCCCGCCGTCGCGTCAAATCTATTGAGCACACCGTTACAAGCTTCAGCAGGACTAAGTGTAACCATACGACTGATAACATCCGTACAACACTATTGGCGGTCATAAAGTTAGAAATAGAGGATACGGTGGAAACACGCTATCGGATGAATATCTCGTCATGGAAGTATCGTACGTACCCTCCTGTACAACGGACACGATCTGTTTCTCTCTGCACACCGGAAGAGCTATTGGCACGTGTGAGATGAATATTTGCGAGAAGATACCATTTTCAAACACAACATGAAATCTTAGCATCAATCAGAAACGCATGCTTCCAACAAGGTCACTAGCAGTATTCTTCGCAATCATATCGAGAAGCGCTCGCTTTTGTTCGACGAATGGCAGGTGTGATACCAGACGGATATCATCTTCTACCAATGTAGAGACCACCCATCCATGGGTCACCAAATAACGGATCTTCCAACTCGTTGCGCCATCTGGGAAAGGACGCTCAGAGCCATCAACGAACTCAATATAGTGGTGGCTTCCGTTGACCTCTACAGCTATTTTCTCGTCTGGCTTGGCGATATCAACGACAACGCCCGGAACCACTGCATATTCATGACACCATTCGCTTCCAAGTACGAGACATACCTTGGTATGCAGAGCACTACTCGAAACAACTCTGGCCCCGGGATCTGTCGTAATGGCCTCCCGTAAAGTTAGGCTCGCCTGATAAAGTTGAGCTCGGTGTGCTCGTTCGTAAGGATTTATCCGTGTTGCAAGTTGGCGCGCGAATACAATGTCCGTACATCCACAAATAGCGAATAGAGACCATAGTGTTATTGCAGCCTCTTTTGACGAGAATTCCTCGACCTGATGTTGTCGAAGGATTGCATAGAGGACTGGTACCACTCGAGAAGCTCCACGAGCGTCGAACACAGCGATCGCCCATAACATGCGAACTGTGTTACTCACATCCCTCACTAGCTCGCTATACCATTCAGCCACCCACTGATATAGGAGACTCATCACATTGGCAGGAAAACGCGAAGAACATGCACAAGCCCAGAGGAAGAAAGACATCTCTCTCGGCGACGAGTTGATGTCTATAAGCTCCGCCAGGTTTCGGAGCTGTGTCGTTACCTTCAGTACCGACATCGTCGACGCTGCTTGTCCGAGGGCAAACGCATACGCTGCACGATCCTGATCATTGATCATATGCATTGATATACCGGAGAGTCTTTCCGGTGATACGGCCCAAGCGATAGTGGACGGGTTCCCACTGTGGACGAGCGCCCATATTGCCATGATAGCATCCCGTGAATTCGGTTCATTCCATTCGCGACGGACAATCGGTACCAGCGCGTCGAGTTGAGGTCTCCACTCACCAGCAGACTTTACTACAGCCCATAGTATGTGCACTGCTTCTCTCAGTTTCAAATCCTTCCGTCTACAACAAGAATCCACAACATGCGATGGAAGAGACAAGCCAGCCTTGGCCAATCCGGACAAACCCATAGCCATGTCTCGTGGAGCCAGACAATCCCAATCGATACGATCTTCAGAGAGCACTTGAGTAAGTAACATTAGGTTCTCTGGAGAAAATTCGAGTCTCCCTATTGCCCAGAGCAGCATCCCCACGTCTTTTGATGACAGACCCCCCGCATTCGACAAAGCCTTGGCCGTTGCAGCATGGTACAAGACCAACAACGCATGAGGCAGTCCTTCATCCGCGTTATTATCGTAGCAGGCTGCACAAGATGCAATGCTCCATACAAGACTACATATATCCTGACTCTCGACTGCTTCCGAGGCGAGAGGAATGAGCTTACCAATAACCGCGTGGTTTGGCGGCACCCCAAGCTTCAGCAAAAGGAACATAGCTTGCGCCGCCAATGATGCATTGAGGGGATTCTGGGGGGTGCCGCTAGTGATCAAGGCTTGCATCAGCTCATTGAGATCCTCAGCTGCGAAACATGGTTCTTTGTTACCGTTCACACACTTGTCGACTTGTCGCAGCGTCATTATACAGTAGATAGGCGTGTGGGCTTTCTTCCAACCCGGGACATTGAAAGGCCGTAATAGGCCTCCGACAGTCTTCCCGACTCCACGCACTGAACGATTCAACATGAACTGTCGCTAACTAAAAGAGAACGGTACGTCCTCCAGACCGTGCATCATCATAGTCACTTATGAACACAACAAAGCTTACAGAAGCCCAGCCCAGAGAGATTTTACAGTTGTGACTATAAAAATGCTGCTCGAAAAAGAAGTACACGAGCTGGCGCATAGACTGTAGAACGAAGGCTCAAGAATATAAACGTTCCCCGATCCGAGCCAGATGGACATGACATCAGAGAAAAAAATACGTTGATGCATTGAGAAAATGATCTGCGACATACAGAGAGCAGGCTTAAGGGGTGGCTCTCATCCTCAAACCGATCAAGTTCTCAAGTAACTCCGCGCTACGCCTGCGAGGATATTGGATATACATAGAAGCGGACCACATATGACGAGACTGCATGAATGTGACACCATGTGGATGACGCTTCGCATTTGAAGGATGAGAGTTGGGAGTAGTAGAATACAGCTAATAAGAAACGCTCTCTGACCCATGCTCAAAGGGACTGAGCGTACTGAGCTCAGAGACTCCTCTTAAGGTTTCTCGGGTACACCAGATTAATCTCGGCACAGACCATCAGACGTTCTTTCTGAGTGTGTATCCGGCTCATCCATCAGACATAACAGCTGATAAGGATTTACATCTGTGATGCAATCGGTATGCGTGAGGATTCCGGATAATAACACAGTCGCGATCGCATTACCGTTGTCTTCAGTTGACTCAAGCGGATTCTCCACTTTCCGAACGTTCCTCTGCGCTTCGATATCTCTTGCTTCGTTGATGAGGATAGTACAGGCAGTAACTATCGTGTGCAAGTGGGGATGAACCTGCACGCAAAGGTCTCAGCCTGAACGGTAGTCGGCACGGCATGGGTGACATGACAAACATAAGTCGATCTAACCTGTTGCGCATTCTTATCAGGATGTAGACTAAGCATCCAACGTCGTAGCCGTCGTTTAAGGTCATCTTCATCGAGGGACTCTTCGGGACTAAGCCCGAGTGTTTCACGAGCCTACCAAGAGATTGGTGTACTGCCTCTCAGGAATTGAAGCTCACAGCCTCAATCATTTTCTCGTGAACAACCTTGCCTTCAAAAACTTCTTCGTCCTCCGACCGAGGGACCAACTTATTGGCTGAGAGAGAGACAACAAGAGTCCCAGCCCAGGACTCCCAGCAGCCCGGGAGCCGCGAATCACGGACCCAGTGTTCGGGCCCCGAGGTGTCGTTTCTGACTACTGCCCCTCCCAGACTCGAAGGACATAGCTTTTACCTGCCTTGTCGGACCATCCGAACGTTGCATCGCAAATATTAAATGCTACACCACCAATGATCGCAACGATCAAACCAGCTCCTGGGACGATTGTGAGGGCACAAAGCCCTGCGTTGGCGGCACCTCGCATGGACTGGAAGGACTCCCTCAAACTCGGCGTTCGATAGGATGCGACAGAGCATGAGCTCTGGTGATGCACCAGCTCACCACTCACCGCTGCTGTGACCTTCCGTCGAGTGGTGCGAACATGAAGTTTCCCCTGCTTGCACTTCCGGACGTGATAGCCAACTTCACATGCAGTGATTGCAGCCGACACCATTACACCCTGCAACGACACGATTGATACTCCGATGTTTAAGAATTCGGCACGCTGAGACGTCAACTGCCCTGCAGTAGTACCAGCCCCGTTCCCATCCCTCTCATGACTGTAGCCGCGCCCACATTGTTGGCTGCGTCGAACATGGCACCTTGAGGAGAGTATGAGTGAATGAGCTTGTCAGCAAGGCTCGCCATGCAGCAAAGTTATCCTCACCCGCTCTAGAGAAACCAATCATGCCACCCATGACAGCCGCTCCCACCGTGCCGCCCATAAGCGTACCTCTCGCAGCACCGACGCCCGCCTGAAGCGGCAATTAGCTATAGTCTAGCGTCAGCTCTGATCACCGTTACTACCTCTTTCGCAACCTTCACCCAATCTATTGAGAGCTTGCCGACATATGCTATTACCAAACCCGATGCCTCTTCGGACATAGGTGGTTCAGGCACACTCATTAGGAATGCACGCAGAGCCATCTGACGTTCCAACTGTTGCCTAGAATCAGCTACAAATACCGAGTCTCATTAGTAAAAAGCGAGTAATTACTTCCTGTAAGAATCCACTCCCTTAGTAACTCCACAGGTGACAGCTGACGTGGCGGCACCGAAGACGTTGCTAGAGACAAGTGACGACTTCGATGTCTTAACGGTCTGAGCGTGGCGCAGATGCGACGACTCTGGTGTAGGAGAGATTCACCAAGGGGATTCAAGTAATTCCTTCTATTCCCCAGCTTACCCTGTGCTTCTTAAGATGAGTCGAAGTAGCCTTATCCCTAGGTGAGGTTAATGTTGTCCCTTCCCCGTCAGTATCCGGCTTGGATAGTGTCATGGACTCAGGATCAGGCGGCACCAGATGCCCAGTTCCAACTATACTGGTTTCATGATTGGGCACATGTAAGGGGTCTTCAGGTGTTTCGATGACAGACAGCATCACCTTCTTACCATTACTGGGGGTGGAGGCTGAAAATTGGAGAAGCCATCCCAAACGAGAGAGCCGAGTAGATGTGATGGTGCTGGCCTTCGTGAGAAACAATCGACGGGGGGCACGTTGCAGATCCGAAGCAAATCGCGAACGAGCCCCGACTAGGCACCAATTACCCCATTGAAATCCTTCGAATATACAATTCCCCTATCTACCTGGCGATGGTTCCTCACATGTCAAAGTTGGGGTCATCGTAGAATAATCAGTATCCCCAGTAGATGTCTGTGGCCGTGCAGATACCCATTGCCACTCATCATCAGATCCATCACTTGCTTGATTCCTTGGAGTAGTTGTCGTGGAATCATTATCCCTCGTATCGTGTGATGCCATGTCTGGCGATGTGGCATTCATGCGGATCTTATTCTCCTGAGGGTTGATTGTATGCCCAACGTTCCATGATTCCGTGCGTTGAGTTTATGTCACCTCAATGGCTGGTACTAGCTTTTCTACAGCATCTACATTGACTACGTAAAGCAATCTCTCGCCGTGGACCTTGTCGTCGCGGTATGCAAGCCGGAGTGTTCTCA